ATTAAAATTAATTGCGTTCACGGTGCTGAAATATTAAATTAATCACACAGAAATACACATCTAGTTATTTTAACTGTTTGAAGTTAATTATTTTGATACAGCATGTAAACACTTTGAAATACTTCTATAATTGGTAAAAATATGGTAACATAATTAAATATTTAACTTTTTGTAAAATAAAAGGTAGGTGGGTTAGTATTGAGATATACTTTCAAAGTTTCCCTGCCTGGGAAACATGGGGAAAACTACACATTGGTTGCTTCCATGTCGGGAATCTGTATGGAAACCACTGAGGCATGTTTACATGGTTTCCTATCTTGGGAAACTTACGGGAAACCACAGGTTGGTTGTTTCCATATCGGGAATCTACATGGAAACCACCGGGGCATGTTTCCACGGTTTCCTATCTTGGGAAACGTACGGGGACCACAGGTTGATTGTTTCCATGTCGGGAATCTATGTGGAAACCACCGGGGTATGTTTCCATGGTTTCCTATCTTGGGAAACTTACGGGAAACCACAGGTTGATTGTTTCCATGTCGGGAATCTATGTGGAAACCACTATGTGGTTTCCATAAAATGGAAACTATATGGAAACTACTGATGTCACGATTCCCATATGTTTCCATCGGGTTTCCAAATTTGGGAAACCTGGCTTTTCATCCTGTGCATTTATCCGGATGGAAAACGAAAGAAGAATGTGTACTGTGACATGACAACAGAGGGTGGAGGATGGACGGTGAGGGATTATGACAATATTTTTTTTTTAGATTTATGAATTCTATCATAATACAACGTAATCTTATAAATGTATTTACCCGGTATATTTCGTTGTTTTCATTCAAAGGTCATTCAAAAAAGACAGGACGGGAGTACAAATTTCTATAGAACCTGGAACGAATATAAAGCTGGCTTTGGGGATCCTAGCAAAAACTATTGGATAGGTAGGAAATCAAGTGAAAAAATGACAATTTTAATCACATTGAACTTTTTCTAAATTTTGTAAAATACAAATATTTAGACGTTATCAAACTCAAAAATCTATAACTTTTTCTAAATTTTGTAAAATACAAAATATGAGGAGACGTTATCAAACTCAAAAATCTATCGAAACAATACGATAAGGAAACAGAGCAAATCAAGACCTGTTGAAAACCTTCATAGTGGAGACCAGATGCCTGGAATGAGTGTGCGTCCCTGGGTATGTATGTTTACTCGAGTACCTTCTTCAATCTGTTCAAAATCAAAATGGAACTTACGTGTTGTATGTCATTAATAGCAGATCTGTTCTTAAATCTTCATATCGACAATATTTTATTAATTAACAACATCATTTACAATCTTTTATTAAGCACACTGCACATTTTTTTGGATCTGTTTCGTATTTGGATATTTATGGAGAATGAAATTGATGGACAAATAAAAGGACGAGAATATCCCATTCATTGTAATTTCTACTGTTGACAAAAAGGCCTTCTTTGTAAACAATATCCATTTTTGGGTCGAATTTTTATTTAAGTATTTTTTTTTTAATTTTTGCAATTTTTCAACGATTTACCCGTTTATTCGTTCATGATAGGAAACTTATAAAAGCTTTGACAAGATGTTTACTCTTATATGGCACCTGATTCAGCTTCCGTTTTCAGGGGACCTTTTTGATTCTGCTTACAATTTGTATTGTTTCGGTTGATCCCTGATCAAGATCCTGGTTCATTATCTTTACGTTTCATTTCATATGACTTATAATAATATATTATTTCTTAACTTTTCTTCTCAGGAAACGATGCTTTACATTTACTCACAAAGAATAGAAAACATGAACTTCGTTTGGATCTTCAGAGATTTAATGGACAGAAAGGGTACGCCAAGTACTCCAGTTTTGCTGTTGGTGACGAAGGAAGTAAATACAAACTCAGTGTGTCTGGGCACAGTGGGATAGGTAATGTGTTTTTCTAATATTTTCTTTTTTATCCCTTACTTTCAAGGACCCTTTTATTAAGATACTGCTTCTCCTTCTAGACCGTTCCAGATAGCTCAGTAGACAAATCGCTCACTCCGTGATCTTAAGGTCCTGAGTTCGAATATCGACCGCGACTGACCAACATCAATAACAAGAGGCCAATGGTCCTTATAGGTCACCTGAGTATCATATAACAACTTTCTAACAATTGAATTTGGTTTGGCACCCCACTCCAAAGGAACCACTGACCCTGTGGCCACTTATTTCAAAATGTTGGAAATTTTATCGTAAATTTTATTTCATCACAAATGGTTGATTAATACCAAAGAGCAGATTTCAAAGCACTAATATATTTACAGAATATGTAACCCCCCCCCCCCCTGACCCTTGACCCAGGGGGCATGAAATAAACCATTTTGCTACGTGCACCGTTTTCGTCCGTCGTCATGCGTCGTGCGTTAAAATTTGAACACTTTCAGCTTCTTCTCTGAAACCACTGAACCAATTTCAACCAATTTTGGCATATAGCATCTATCGGTAAAGGAGAACAAAAATTTTGAACTTTATGGTCCCTGCCCCCCAGGGGCCTGGGGATGGGGCCAAAACCACTAAAATTAGTGCAATCTTCTTCCGTACTCCTGGACATCAAGCAGTCAAACAGTTGACATGATTGTTATCAGCATTGAGTCTTCTACCGAAATTGTGAAATGCATGGCCCCAGGGTCAGGGGTTCTAGAGCTAGGGTGGGGCTATATTGATTATATATTGAAATGCATTATTTCTTTGAAAATCTTCTTCCCTGCTCCTGGGTATCAAGTAAACTAACTAAGTACATAGTTATGATAAGCAAGAGTGCCTCTTCCAAAATTGTGAAATTCATGGCCCCAGAGTCGGCGGTTCTGGTGTTAGAGCGAGACTCTATTGATTATATCGTGAAAATGCATTAATTCTTTGAAAATACAGCATACTTTTCTGCGTCTTTTTTCCCTTTTAAATTCATTTATTCAATAACGTACAATATAAAAGTGAGGCAAAACTTTCGCAGAAGCCCTCTGGTAATACCCCAGCAGGGGTGCTAGGAGCTCCCTGGATCGGTATAATATTATATATCTCCAATATTTGAACACAGAATTTTTTCACATTATACCTCTCTGCTTCTTGGTTTTAAAGAAACTAACTAAGTACATTGTTATAATGAGCAAGAGTGTCTCTACCAAAATTTTGAAATTCATGGCCCCAGGGTCAGGGGTTCTGGTGTTAGGGTGATTTATTTATATACATGTATAGTGAAAATGCATTGATTCTTTGAAAATCTTCTCTGCTCCTGAGTATTAAATAAACCAAATAAGTACATAGTTATGATAAGCAGGAGTGCCTCTTCTGAAATTGTGAATTTTAGGACTCAAGGATCAGGGTTTCTGGTTTTAGTGGTTTTAGGGTAGGGCTCTATTGATTACATAGTGAAAAATGCACTAATTCTTTAAAAATCATTTTCTGTGCTCCTACTTATTAAGTATTCTAACTAAGAACATAACTATCATGAACAAGAATGCTTCTACCAAAATTGTGAAGTTCATTGCCCCAGGGTCAGGGGTTCTGGTGTTAGAGGGGGGCTCTGTAATGATTATATAGTGAAAATACATTTAGTCTTTGAAAATCTTCTTCTCTTCGCCTGGGTAATAAGCAAATAAACTACCTATATAGTTATGATGTGCAAGGGCTCTTTTTCCATGATTACGCATTTCAAGGCCCCTGGGTCAGGGATACAAAGGAGGGGGCGGGGGGAGGGGCTCTACTTATATACTGAAAATGAATTGTTTGAAATCTGCTCCTTGGTATCCATCAATTGTTTTTGATAAGCAAGTGTGCCTTTTCATAAATTGTGCAATGTGTGGACCTAGGGTCAGGGGTTCATGTGTGGTAGGGACACTACTGATTATTGCTTAATAATACTGATAAGTTGATATGCATTTTTTGTTTCATACATATTAGTTTTAAAAATTGATTTTTTTTTGTGTATATCTTGATATGGAGATCTTCTAAAGGAGATCGAAATTGTCTAAAAATGGCAACGACCACTCAGCCCCTTTAAGTAACCAAACTAAGCAATTACTAAGTTAATAGTTGATAAGCAATGGTGCCAGCCTCTTTCAAAATTATGACATAGCATCTACCTTAAAACATGAACCAAATTTAACCTTTTGAAAGTTGTTGCATGATTCTCAGGTGACCTATAAGGCCCATGGGCCTCTTGTTTTCATCATAAATATTTATACCTAGATCATTGACATAAAACCCTGAAGCAAAGAAAAAGATTTTCAAATATTTTATGTATTTTACTATATAATCAAAAGGGCCCCCTATACGAAATAGGAAAAAGCTCTGACACAGGGGCCATGTAATTCACAGATTCGGTTGAGACACTCTTGCTCATAAAAACTTTAGATTAAAGCTTAGTTCATTTAATACCCATGAGCAGAGAAGAAGTTTTTCAAAGAATTAATGCATCTTCAGTATATAATCAATAGAACCGCCCTAACACCAGAACCCCCAACCTTGGGACCACAAAATTCACAATTTTAAAAGAGGCATTCTTGCTCATCATAACAATGTACTTTTTTAGTCTTTTAATACCCAGGAGCAGAGAAGAGGATTTTCGAAACCCTGTCCTAGCACTAGAACTCCTGACTCTGGGACCTTGAATTTCACAATTTTGGTAGAAAATCCAATGCTCATTACACTCATACCAACAGTTTGACTGCTTGATGTCCAGGAGTAAAGAAGAAGATTTTTAAAGATTTCATTAATTTTAGTGGTTTTGGTCCCACCCCTCAGGCTCCAGAGCGGCGGGGACCATCAAGTTCACAATATTCGTTCCCCTTTATCCTTAGATGTTGGTTGAAATTGGTTGAGTACTAGTAGTTCAAGAGAAGAAGCTAAAAAAAATTTACGACCGACGTACAACGTACGACGTCGGACGAAAACAGATAGCAATAGGTCACTTGAGTTTATTCACGTGATCTAAACATAGATAGATAGCAACTGGCCTGGGAGCCACAAAAACTAAGACGAGCTTACTTTTGATCTCCGTCTCACTTTTCCACTATATATTCCTCTGGTAAAAGTGAGATTGATATCAAAAGTGAGCTCGTCTAAGTTTTATGTCCCCATGCCTGTTCTTTGCCATACACGCGGTACTTTAAAGTAAAAATTGCAGGTCCTTCGAATTAGACCTCTAAAACCGAGGTCCCTTTTCAGGGCAGGTGATAACAGTATGAATTCCCTCACTGCTCATTGGCCCTGAATAATAAGTAAATGGCAAATTGAAAGCCCTTCAATGGTATACTAGTATTTCGGACTCTTTATATAGAAAATTCTCGTATGGGACCTAAACAACATCCCAGATAGCAGAATGTTATTGGACGACCTTTGTTGGGCCAATAATGCTCCTTATGTTGGGCCACCGTTTGCATTCAACATTGGGCTATCGGTAATTTGCTCATCGGCCCTTAATCAAACCAACTTGTTGGCTTATTGTTGGGCCAATGTAACAGTTAATATTGGGCCAGTGTGGGCCAATGTATTATTTCAATATTGGGCAAACGTCATTTTAGGCCAACGGTAATTTGCTCATCGGCCCTTAATCAAACCAACTTGTTGGCTTATTGTTGGGCCAATGTAACTGTTAATATTGGGCCAGTGTTGGGCCAATGTATTTTTTCAATGTTGGGCAAACGTCATTTTTGTACAGTTGGGCCATTGTAAGCAATGAATGTTGGGCCAACGGTAGTTTGCTCATCGGCCCTCAATCAGACCAATTTGTTGGCTTATTGTTGGGCCAATGTAACTGTTAATATTTGGCCACTGTTGGGCCAATGTATTTTTTCGATGTTGGGCAAACGTCATTTTTGTACAGTTGGGCCATTGTAAGCAATGAATGTTGGACAAACGGTAATTTGCTCATCGGCCCTCAATCAGACCAACTTGTTGGCTTATTGTTGGACCAACGAACGGATATTATTGAGCCATTGTTGTGCCACTTATTCTTTCAATATTAGGAAAACATCATTTTTGGGCCAACGTTTGTTTGTATCTGATTGGCTCTCCATCATGACAACTCATTTGCTTTTTACTGGTTGGCCATTTGTCCTCAAAATTCACAAACAAATATATTAGTATATACAATAAGGTTATACAAGTTTTGTAGTACAGTTTAATTGTAAAAGCCCTTTAATACTATCTATATATGCTATATATGCTAGATTAATAGTTTAATACATATTCTCAATATCTCATAGAATTGCCATCAACAAGTATTGCATTGTAAGTAGCTCTACATTAATTAAAAAACTGACGAAAAAGAAATCAAAATATAAAATTGAATTATAACATACTATAATTTTATTGCTCATTGCATGAAGGAAACATTAATAAAGAACTAAAAGTTGATGCGCACTTCAAGCGATACATGTAGGGTTACATGACTGTATACTCCCTCTCTGATATAAAGTTATGCACAAGTTCAGTAAATTACAGGTATCAATAAGCACGTCTTATAAATAAACAAAGCCCTCCTGTTCTTAAAAAAATACTAATATGAGTCCCGTTATTTTGTTTACTTACAATATTAATGTTTACTTTACTTCTGGCATCTGCATCGTGTTTGTAACCGATAAACAGACACAGAAAAGGGTAGAACTACAGGTATGTCACACTATATTACAGAAAAAAGTTAGGCACTGCCACTTTCCATCTGATCCCTCTCCTAAGTCTCCTCTCTCTCTCTCCCAAGTCTCCTCCTTCCACTTCTTTTCTTCTCTGTCCGTTCTTCCCCCCATCCCTGTCCTTGGCATACCTTAGCTATTCTTTGATTGTGTTCTCAATGTCTCTTTAGAATCTCCAGTAGCACTAAAATTGAAGTATTTGGTACTTAATACATTTGTTACTTTTTTCAGTAAAGAGTAAACATACGATTAAAT